TTAATTTGGATTGTATTGAAAATGGAAAATCCTTAAACTTTAACAAGAAACGCGAAATTGAGACAAAGTAGAGTGGAGGATATTAAAGCACCAATTTTGAACATCTTATGAAATGTGTTAAAATATTTTGATATAAAAGTTGCAAACTTTTCTCATCTAAAAATTGTATTTTGCCGCGAATAATTACTTTGCAAGCATTCAGGCGAAATTTAAAAAGTCTTACGTTTCAGTTAACAAAAAGCAATGCAATATACGAAGGCATCAAAATGCATCTAGTGCAAAATTTCTAGTCTCGCAATATCGCAGTTAGTCCACAGATATGAGCCAGAAAAATCCTTTTTCAAGGCCAACAATTTTCTGAGTCAGTCTGCGTTTGTATGCTATTGCATTTGTATGCAAAAAAGGATACTTTCAACATTATTTGTATGGTTTGAATGGATGAGTATTTGAAAAGTTTGCAAAATGAACAGAAAAAAACAGGATAGATGATTTTGTACAGCTCGTTAGCGTCGTTTTCTTCAGTACACTTTCGTGCATGCAATCAAGTCCGATAACCTGCCATAGGACAATAGACTTCCAACCACCAAATACGCCAACTGTTCTATTTTTTATTAAATTTGCTTAGTATGCACTTAAATAGATAGAATAACTTCATACTGATACTTCCCTTCGAGTTCGCAAAAGCACACACCAATAGTGGTAGTATTCTTATTATAGAGTAGAGAAATTCTTTTAATATATTTCATTTAAAGTCCAAAATATTTCGGTAGTATGTTCAGTTTTATTAATATTATTTTCAAAGTTTCTTATATTAGCGAAAAAGCAGAAAAATTCATCAAATTTTTAATACAATTGCATCTACAGTGCTTATCAAATTCAAACGCTCACCAAAAATGGAAGAATTTTCAGATACCATAAACTTATGAAATCGAATAAGGAATTGCAGGAACAAGAAAATCAATCCAATTGAAATGTGTTATCAGCAAAATTTCTCTGCCTTGAACTTAAAAAAGCAAAAGCATATGAAATGTATTCACATTCGCTTTTGTTTGCTTCTGTCATATTTTTTGCTACAGAATCTGTTTCGGCTTTGGCCTCATTGTCGTGAATCCACATGAGTACTCCAATCTACGTAAGCTAACATATTTGGTTTGCGCATAAATCCCTCTTACAAGTACGGAAAAGCTCAGCTCTGGTGGGTGTATGGCTAAGATTCCTTTGTTTATCTTGTTTTGCAAAAAGAATTATTTCGTTTCATAGTGCTGTCATAGTCGATTCCATGCCAAATCACGTCATTGTTGTAGAGTTATATGAAGGAAGAGTGGGGATATGCTCTCATGTTCACTACAAAAATGAATAAGAATAATAAATTTCTACATATTGTGTTTTTCTATTGAATTACAATTTTATTCATACGAATTCATCAGAAACATATTTTTGTGTGTTCATTCCATTAATTTTAACTTTTTAATTTCGTTTTATATTCCTCACTTAATTGTTGATTTTTCTACACGGTCGTCATCGAACCTTCTTCTCTACGGGGCTGCTTTCTGGTGACAAGCTACTGAAAAGACATGTCACTCAAAACTTATTGACAAAACTAGGAGAATATCTGCTTTGCAAATCACTGGTGCTTTGCGCTCCACTCCTACGAAGGCTCTCTTCACTCTGCTTCACTGGTTGCCATCGCGGCTTCTTGTAAAAGAGCAAGCTAAGATAGTAGCAACCAGACGTTATGCTCTTTCTCGTTGATCCAGAATTGATATTGGGCACGCGATCATACTGAATCAGGCCCCTTTTCAATCGACTATAA